CAGGGGCAGAAGCACACTAACAGAAAATTGTTATGAAGTAGTGTCAGAGCCAGTTTGCAATCTTCTTAAACGAGCATCTGCAGTTTCAATTTTCATATTTACTTAAATTGTTGCACTCAATGAAGGTTCAACCAAAGGTAATTAAACATGGAGGGATTTGTCATTATGGTTCCAAGCAGTGGCTACAGGATCACAAAGAGCAGTGTAATCAAATACTTAACCTGAGTCGTTTAAGAAAAATAATTATTAGAATGAAAGTTATTTAGTATAAGTAGCATCCTTGAACCATATTCTCAAGTATAAGATATCTCCAACAGTGTATTGAGCACCACTATTTACAGTAACCCAATCAGATTTGTATTATTTACCAGTAACATCCAAATCAGCAACGATGATACAGTTTTGACCAGGTTGACAACCTTGAGTTCTTTGGATATCTACATCAACAGTGAAGGTTTAAACTTAATTTCTGTTGGTGAAAACGGTTGATTACCATCTGTGAGATCTTAATACTGTACCTGAGTATCCGATTAAAATTCTGTAGTTCAAAATTTGAACAATTTGGTTTCCATCAGCACTGACTGTTTGGCTATTGGCAAGACCATAGACATCAATAAGAGGAATTTAGATTCTTTGATCACCACTTTTACCACCAGGTAAATTGCTGAGATAAGAACCACCATTTTTAGGAGCAGGTAAATCAACATAATCGACATCTTCATTACCACTATTATTACCTTTGGGTTGATATTAGATATGGGTAACAACATAAGATCTGCAATCAGCCTCACTGAACTATGAGTGAGAAGTATCAATAGAAATATCAGATCTAATGTAATTAGCTTCTGAACCAGATTATCCAGCATTTTCAGTGTAATAGTAACAATCAGTGTTAACATAGAAGTTAGCCATATTCAAAGCCATATCAATATGACATTAGTTATCTTGACTACCAGAAATCAACTGATTGCATGTGAGGGGGTTTAGAGAAGAGGCATAGTAACCACTTTAACAAACACAAGTTCTTTAGTTAGGATCTACTTGAGAGTGATCAGCACTACATGAGAGACAGACATTTCCATTGCATGTAGAACAACTA